TCAGACTGTAAATAATGCTGATCTTGTTGATATTCACTTGGCATTCATGAATATGACTCTGAGTTAGTGAGCACTTTGTGGCCAGGCAATGGAAGCAGTTGTTACAACCAAGGTCACCGGCACAACGCAAGAGCCGGCTGCTTAAACTCTTTGCAAAGGTGGTGGGCACCAGGTCTGCTGTGACTGAGCTTAGGCTGGCTGCCCCAGAGGTTATGGCATGGGCTGAAGTGGTGAATTCATCCAGCTCAGCCTTACTTAGTACCTTGGCTTAGCTCTTTCCACAGCCTAGTTCACACGGTATCCGTGAGACTGAAATCTCAGCACTGGTTTGCCAGCTATTCCTGTTGACCTGCCACTTTGTCCCCCAGACCAAACTGACAAACAGCAGTTCTGGAAGGACACAGCTCATGTAGGCACATGCACAAGGGTGATTTCAAGATGTTAAGCATTTTACTGAGGTCTCTTTTACCAAAATATGAGACCTGGGGTAACCCCCAAAGCACCTATAAAGACACAGTCCATTCAGAATAAAGGACAAGGTTGGACAAGAGTGACAAAGCAAAAGGAAGAAGCAAAACACACAGAGCTATTAAACACGGTCCTCAGAAGTAGGGATTGTTCCTTAGTAGGTTGGAAAATTTCATATTATCTCTCTCTTTCTGATGAAAGCTCAAATAAGTGATTACAGAACAAATGTTAGAAAATACAGAGCAGACAGTGTCCTTGACTGGCAACTCAGCAAGTAGGAAATACAGCTCTCAGATGCCATACTGGGAGTGTTTCTCAATGCCACCACTAAGGGTAGGATAGAAATAATTTAAACAATTGTGAGAAAGGGGAGTTAAGGAATACCCTCTATGATCCTTGTAAGAACAAACCAGGTGCAAACTACAAGCCAAAGACTCCAAGGATCGTTTAGGGATCCCATAAGAGCTTAAGGTAGGTGCAAAACCAATGATCCCCTTGGGAAGAAAAAAATTACAATGCATTAAGGAAGAAATAACAAGAAAAACATAACTGAGATTCCTAAGGAAGCAAATCCCCTCTGGTGGCACAGAAGTCAAAAAGAGTTTTCAGCTATACTGATGGACCAATCCCCTGAGGTGTAAAAAAAAGAAAAGAATCTCATGGGGCATAGGGGAAAAAAAGGCAAGAAATACTGTTTTTCTTTCTCCTCACATTCTGGCTTTTTGTGTGTTGAAAAAATAAAACATAAGAAAAAGCAGCAAAGATTTTTTTTTGAGACAAAGTAGCAGCATACAAAATTCCTCCCAGTAAGAAACACAATCAAGTTACTAAAACTTTTTATGCCATCACATTAGAAAAACAGCAAAAGTGCAATAACAGAACATTGAAGAATGAGTTTCACCCAAAGAAAAGCTGAACAGCAGGAGCTTTTCTGGAATATTTTAGTTGAGTGTACACATCCATGTCACACCATCACTTCTTACTTAAAAACAGCTGCAGAAGGCTCCTGCTGCGGCCGCTGCCGTTAGCTGAAGCTCTGATCTTCCTGTCTTCATACAAGTCATCAAGCCACATTTCCTGCTGGAATTAAAGTGGCAGCCCCTAGGGACTATGCAGCTACCCAATTTATATCAGAGAGAATCTGAAGCAAGCACCAGGATTTTTTCCAACTGCTTAATTTTTATTTAGTTTTTTGCAGCACCCCAAATTCTAATAAGAGCTTTTCTGGGCATTTGCCTTTTGAAGCACTGAAAAGAAAACACAGACATTTTAAGACCTGTGCAAAAAGGCTGGGAGCAGGAAAAATCTGTGGGCAATCTCACTGGCATCAAACCAAAGTATGCCTTAGGTACCTATTGCACCCGTAGTACTTACATACAGATGGTACAGGTGGTATATGGATATTATGAGGAATATTTATAAAACAACAAAAGCTGCAGATCATGACACACAACTATTCTGGCTCAGAGTAAACATAAGAGAGCAACGGGGAAACTGTCAAACTACCAAGTGCTCAAACTACCTGGTGCCAGGCAAGGACAGCTACAGGGTCGTTGCTAAAGATGCAGAAATGCAGGCAACTGCTTTTTGTTCTGTACTTCTACAGTACTTAACACAGCAAGAACCAGGTCAATGGAGTGTTCCTAACAGCTATGATAGGTTATAATAAATAAGACTTTGGAGAAGATCACGTAGCATCCCATTAAGTAGTCTCTGTAGTTAAACACAGATATCCATAACTCAAAGAAAGTCTTGTGTTACCAGACAAGACTCCTTAGACATCAAGCAGGGTAAAAAGCAGTCTCTCTTGTATGTGAATCTTTTTATTTTTTAAAGTCTGTCATAAATAATATCAAAATCAAGGCAAAGTTGTTCTACTTCAAAACCAAGGATCATAGAAGCCTACAAAAGTAATAATCTCTTTCTGTTTTTTTTTTTTTCAAAGAATGGAAAGCAAATCAAACTAGAGCATGTTAAATTGAGCATTAGAAGGGCTCTCAGCCACTTCCAAAATTACTTGAGAGCACATTATAATTAGCAAAGGTATGTGACAGTTTTATACCTCTCTATGATGCATGATTAAAGCCAGGCAGCCCGGTCCTGCGCACCGTCAAAACAGATGTGACAAGAACTGCAAGCTGCTCCCAGACAGACTGTGAGAAAGCATAGGCAGATAACATTTTGGCTATCAAAGATGTAAGACCCGACACAAAAGTAATTAAACCTCCAAACCCCTCAGAGAGGTTGGAAAAAATGAGGTTTTATGAAGCATCCTGTGCTTGAGCTGCAGTGCCCCAGCCCGAGAACAGGCATGAGAACAAGCTCCTGCTTTTCTCTCTGAGGTGCAACAAGGAACAAAAATTGAGAGTAACAGCTCACAGCCTCAGCATGAGGGCACAAATGACTGGAGAGATGCTGCAGTAACACCACCAGAATGATCTGTGACACTGCTGGTTTTTTCCACCCAAGACAGATACCTCTTATCTGTCTGGAGCAGAGAAGTATGGAGTCCTGGGCCACTGTGAAAAGCCGAGTCTAAACCCCACACAAATCCTGCATCACATTTGCATGGCTTTGTCTGCTGAGCACTTAAAATATCAATGAGAGGCTCAGCTTCCTACCACTAACTGTGAAAAACAAAGTATAGAAGGGAAGCTATGCATCAGCCAAGGCCTATGCCTCTTGAACTGGGGTTAGAGGGGAAAAAAGGTGTTGCAAGGAAACATGTAAGGAACATGGAGAATTTTAGCTTTTGGATTTCACAGTTGGTTTTAAGTGTGAAACAGTGTATCCAAGCCATCACTTTTATATTTTCATATTTAGACTACATCTTAATGCTTCTTCCTTCATGACATCCCTCTGCATACAGCATATTTCACTCTTCCCCCATTGCTTCTTCTGCAGTGCTTCAGAGCTCACCTTTCTAACATCCCAGCAGCTTCAGGCAGTTTTCCTGATATATCCCTTAAGCCATTCCCACTGCACTGCTCCTGTTGTGCCCTCTTTCCCATCTCCTCTGCAGACATTTGTTTCCCCATTATCCCCATGCCCACGAGGTAACCCCCTTCTACAGGAGGCTGCAGAAATGGTGCAGCTGGTTTCTCCTTCAGGCACCTCACACTTTCCCCAGCAGGACTGTTTGGCTGAGGTGTTCGGTTGTGTGTTTTGTTTGTTTGTGTATTTGGGTGACAGACAGACAACTTGGCAGTGTCCAATGACTCACCCATGATTCATCCCTGAATTTTCTTAGTTAAAAGAGTTGCTAATGGGGAGGCAATTACACAGTGCAATCACTCAGTGGACACTCTTGAAGAGTTTTGGAGAACCTCACAATCTCACAAAATTCATTAATTTTATCAAAGACAAATCTTTCACCGCTGCAACAAGGGTAAGCTGGTTCAGGTGGGCAAAACACTTAAGCCTCTACTTTCTGATGGCTTTGGTATGAAGAAATAAACTTGCTGCATGTTTACAAGCAGGTATATATTGCTCTGTGGCTATTTTGATGAAGAAGATACAATGGCTGCAGACCCTTTACAGTCAATCATTTGGAGAAAGTAAAAGCAGTGCAGCTGCCTGGTTTACCTCCTGATACCCACTGATGCTGAATATCTATGCAGCAATGAAAGAGAACTTAATTAACTGGCATATGAATACACAAATCAACTATATCAATTTTAATTTTTTTGAACATAATCAGTTAATTAGAAATAGAGCTTTCAATGCAAGCACCTATAGTTCTGCCTATGCCCCGGCCTAAGCCTCTCCACAACAGGGGGATCTTAGGGAGCAGGACTGCTTCCAAGCAACTGCATGTGTTGCCAAGCTGTCTTTGTCCCCACAGTTGTGCTTTGCTATTAACATGATTCACAAAAGAACAAATAAAACACACTGCAACAAGCCTTTGCTATCACTGGAAACACATTTTGCTGTGTGAACGGCAGTCCTCTAAAGAATGATGCTCTGCAGATGTCTCCATTTGGGAGACTGCTTTAGTGGACACTGACAAAGTGTCTCTGGATGTCAAAACCTCAAGAGAACACGTCAAATCACTTTCCAACATCCTGCAGCTGAAGTGATGCCAATACTTTTATTTCTAAGAAAATAATTGTTGTCCCTGTGTAAAGCAAATGGGATCTTTCATGCCGTGAGGTGTGTGCAGAGCAGCAAGCTTTATGCAATGCAATACATACAAATGTTGAAAACACATGTGATGACTTAATATCACTAATTTGACCAAACAGAGTGCAGAGCATAACAGCAGATGTGTTACTAGTGCCACAGCAGAGCATCAAACAGGCTTTTGCACGGCATCTGAACAAAGGAGTTTGCTTTACGGGTCTGTACAATTAAAAGGCTACAACTCAACCCAAGAGAACTCGAATTCCCTTTCACTCCGTGAAGCATCTGGCCTGATTGCTGGTGGCTGCTGATCACTGCCATGTCATCACTCCAAAGCCGTGAAACATCCCGCCACCGTGTTAATTAGCTCCCCTTGCAAAGTGCTTAAGCCATAGAGTGAGGTTACTTACGTGATGTCTCTGCGCTGATAGCAACCTTGAAGAAGGCAAGCGATCAGGTCGCTGATAAACTCCACGTCATCCCCGTGAAGAGCAGCTTCCAGTTCCTAATGAGCAGAAAGGAGAGGAAGAAAAAAAAAAAATCCAACCATTAAACTAATTCCTTAAAAATTTCCTCCTAGCTCATCTGGACCAAAAAGACCCAAACAGCCTCACATATGTGTACAGCAGCAGAGCACACATGGGGTAAACTGACCTTCCTCATCATTAAAAATACTGCTTCTACTACCTCTTCATTGCAAGAGTTTATGGGAAGCCCTTGAAAGCTTTTTACTGAATGTCACTCTCCAGCCAGAAGACTAATGCTTTTGTCTGGGTGCAGAAAAATAGGGTTCAGTGAGGTTGAGATACACTCCAGCCTAATAAGAAGGGCATGATTTCTCCCATGTTCACCTGATGGACAGGAATCAACAGTTTCATTCTTCTGCTTTACCTCCACTCACTAAGGCTGGTGAGCTCAATTTAAAAGATGTGCTCAGAAAGCAGGGCACTAAAAGCCACTTACAACCCAGAAGTAGCAGTTTCAGATGGATTGCCAGAAATGGCTGAAAACTAGCAAGCAAATGCCTCAAAGAAAAGCAGGCGTTTTGATTATTTAAATTATTTCTTATACAGTTCTGTTTTTTCCCCAACTCCCTGTCAGAGAGAAAGCATGGAGGGATGTCAGACTTTGGGACCCAAAATCTCCATCCTCGATGGAGAATATCATGGCTTATTCTAGAACAGTGGAGTTCACAAAGATGTGATGCAGAAAATGATCCACAAAAAGGATAATAAACTCCTGAAACTTATTTAGTTATTATGAATTTTGCACATATTGTAAGAAATATCTTTTTTTCAGCTAGCAGTTTCAAGCTTTGTTTTCCAAATATAATTTGGTTAATTACAGTTTTATTTGTATGCCAGAAAATTATTCACAGTTAGAAAAATCCACTTTCTATAAGACTTATCATCACTAGCATACAGCATTTAAGAAGATTTAATATGGATAAACAATATAGGCATAAGAAGCTATTCTTTTTGGATTTCAGAGTAAATAATGGATTGAATACAAATTCCTACTTGAATGTTACTCAACAGACTGTTACACAAATAGCTAAGCTAATGGCTACAGAATAAAGGTTAATGGCCAGAGAATAAAGGATAAATGTTTTGGCACTTACCCAATAAAGAAGAGAAAGTGCTTTTTTTATTAGACCGCAGTAACTGCAGTAATAAAATTATTGATAACAGATTGCAGCTTAAATGCCGCTTGTAGTTTTTTATTAGAAATGTATTAATGGCATATTTTCATTACCCACACTGCTCTTATTTACCTCTTGTGCACCATACAAAGTGCTTCAGGAGCGGAAGCCTGACACCTGCCCTGTGAAGAATGTACTAAACACATCTATTACACGTGGAAGCTGGAGGTAAGGAAAGAGCAGCGTGCAGCCAAAGCCTGACGCAGTGTCCCTGCCACAGAGATAGGGAAAGGACCAGGAATCTATCTCTGTTCTCTGCCTCTAGATGAGCACCCTGCTTAATGACAAGTTAATACCAAATCTGCAGTTTGCTGCTTGCCATCCCTTGGACAGAGTGATATTATTGTTGTATAAATAGTACTCATGCTATATAAACAGTAATTACTGAGTGAATTCACTTAGAATCATGGAATGTCCCGAGCTGGAAGGGACCCACAAGCACTGAGTCCAGCTCCTGGCCCTGGCCCTACTTACCACCTAGAATTTTAGAAGTGTTGACTTACTTTATTTGTAAAATATTTTAGTGGACATATGCCTTCTATAAATATCCCTGGGGAAGAGGGGAGCAGGGAGGACCTAAAGCACATGATACACTAAACCATCCCAGGTGTGTTACCACATTACCACAATAAACCTGCAGCTTGTGAAAAATGGCAAGTTAGAACCCAGAATGATGGGCAGGGGAAAGGAAGTCTCCAGGATGCCTCCCTGCATTCAGCCTCTCCCTCATCCACATACACTTGTTCATTAAAGCTGTCAGTCAGCAGTCTGCCCCTGCTAGGATGTGACAGCCTTTTGTAGGAAGGAATATTTAAACTGCTTCCCGTGAGCCTTTTCAGCCTGCTGTTTGACTAACACTCCTTAAGCAGTGGCCACAACTGCCTCAGATAGCCCCTATCTGCAGCCATTGTTTTCCAGGCCCGAGAGTGACCTTTACATTTTTGGAGATGGCAGGTCACCCCAGGAGCAGCGGGGCATTCCTGGGGCACTGGGCAAGAAGCCATCTCCTGGGCAGGGAGACACACCTGGATGGGCTGTTCCCCCTGCCTCTCCTCCTGCTTTCTCCCTCCCAGAAGGGAGCTCCTTGTCCTTGTCTCAACGGCAGGTGTAGCACCAATTTTGGGGACCCGATCCAGACCCAGACCCAGACGGATCTCACAGCCACTGGATAAAGGGGGCTCTGGGCAGGCCAGTGTGAGGTTGGGTGCAGAGCCCCAGTGCCACGCTGGGTTAAGGGGCTCTGGAACAAGCCAAGATTCATCAGCACACACACAGCATGGAGCCAGTGAAGGTCCATTCTTGACAGGCATGAGGCTGTCGGTGCTTCCGTAGAAAGACACTTGCACCATGCTCCCAAATGCCATGGGTGCTTCCTTGGAGCCCATCCTGATCTTCTGCTCCCTGCCAACAGTAGCACTCAGTGCCAGAATATTACAGTAAAGGCACAGTCCATTACTGTGATTATTTGTCTTGGAAAATAATTACTGTGATTATTTGTCTTGGAAAAAAGTTACTGACATTGTCCTGTAATGTTTCTGTCTACATTTCAACTTTTGCTGCTTGTGACAGAAGAGTAAGAGCAGTGAGAGGAACCTGATTAATGAACACAGGGATTGAACAATGAACCCAGGGCTGGGTCCATTGGCCCTTTTTATCTGAATGTCATGATTTTTTATCCCATTGGATTCTCCAGCTTCCGGTCCCTAAACACCTAAATTCTAGACTCTTCCCACGCACTCAGAGTGCAGTGGGAATGACAGACAACTAGGAAGGTGTGATGCAAATCTGAACATCTCAGGAACATGAACAAAGAGTTAGTATCCCTTCAGGTTTTCACCTAGTGCTTCAGCCCACATTTTGCAGGAGGATTTTCCCAGCCCTCTTCTCCAGGAAGGGACAGCCAGCAAAGCAGCACACTGCTCAAGCAGCACATCTAAACAGATGTAGATGAATGATGCCAGGGACTCTCAAGAGAAAGAAGCCCCTAAAACCCTCCTGGCCCTAAGGGCAAACCCTGCCTCAGTCACCCATCCCCACACTCCTCCAGCCTGGCCAGGAGGAGCAGCTCAGCTTCCTCCCAGCCACCATCCTCCCCACGCCTCCAATCCTTTTGTTTTTCCTCTTTTCTCTTTGAGCACTGAGCTGTGAGCACAGAAATCTGAACCTTGCCAAAACGCTTTGGGGACAGCACAGAAAGGAAACAGAAGAGGCAGCAAATCAGCAGAGGAAAAGGGGGGGACACACATCTCCTCCTCCTCTAGCTGGAGAGAGCAACAGACAGGAGAAAAGCAGGATTCTCCCCCTCTCCAGCTGGCGTCACACCTCATTAGGGAAAAGCCTGTTTAACGTCTTTCCCTCCCCCCAGCCCGGTACTAAATCCCCCCTGAGTCAGGCAAGGACTGTTGGGAAGAGGCAATCGCCAGAGCAAGGGTGGGAGCAAGGGTGACCACCTCTCCCAGGAAGAGCGCTGGCCCAAAGCGGGGCCACCAGAGAGGCACCAACCCATCCATCCCCAGCCCCTGGGGCAGAGGGGCCGGGTACCCCACTCCCGGCACCGGGGCAGGGATGGGTAACCCCACCATTTGGAAGCCTTTTTGATCTCTGCCTGGATTTTTGAGAGGCAGGACAGTCAACCTTCCTGATGAAAGTAAACAAATGAGTCCACAACAGTGATGCCACTGTCACCAAGTCAGCGTGGGGTGGCCACGGGGCTGCTGCATGTGTTTTGGGTTTTTTTGAGCTGTGGAAAGCAGCCAGGCAGCCTCCAGCTCCTGCTCCAGCAAGCTGACTGTGCAAAGAAAGGGCAGGCTCACAAAGCTTGGGGCCTTCGTTTCAGAAGACAGACCCCTCCAAACTTGCAAGAGCCAGTGTGAGCAGGCTGGGTGCTGAGGTACAGGACTACAGTTTAGAGGTTTCTTCTGTGCTGGAGCTGAATCATCTATAACTGAATGTGATGGACATAACGAGTTTAAGCACAGCTAAGCCATGTCCAAGTTAGCCATCAGTTTAAAAACCCGAATCCCTTCAGCTCTATTTCCATACAGCTGCTGTTATCAGCTTTCCATTGCAATGCTCCAAAGTGACTCAACAGGCTTTAAGAGATCACCAAAAGCTACCACAGCAGGACGTGCTGAGCCAGCCCCAACCCTTGCTCTGAAATTTCAACGCTGTCACTGAATCAAGTCAGGATGATCTTTTCCCCTCACAGACAATTAATGACAACAGGCATCTGGGCAAAAGTTTGGCAAACTCACGCCAAAGGATAGTGGGATTGGGCAGGAAGATGGAAAGCCAAGTGCAGGCCTGAAACGCTTCCAAGAAGCACCATTTATCCCTGCCAGTGTGAAGTCAGTGTGCTCAGCCCCTAGCACCTTCTCAGAGTGCCTCAGAGAGAACCAAGCCCCCACTCAGCACGCTGCCTGCAGCCCAGTGCTGTGTTCTCCCTGCCTGGGATCCCTGCCATCATATGGAAATAGTTTCCAAAATATGAAGCCAACTGCAAGTGTTCTACACAACAAGGCAGGAGGGCACTGCAGGACATTAGGGGTGTTCCTAGGGCCAGGGGACCCCACAAGGGCAAACAGCAGTGGGTTTAGCTGGCTGCCATAAACTCAGAAGTTATGGCTCCTGGTCCTGATGGGGTCTCCCGGGCATGCCATCTTAAGTGGCTGTTGGACACACTATGTGTTATCCAAGTCTGCAGCTGGATGCACCTCTCCCACCTTCCCCAGAGTCCTGCAGGAGCCTGCATGCTGCCCTCTCCCTCTATGATCCTCCAGGGCTTTAAGGTTTTTAAGCCAAAA